GGCCTGTAGAGTGGCACGTTTTTCGGCCCAGAATGCCTGTTACCCCGGCACAGGGACGCCAGCCATCTCTGGCTCGACACTTACAGATTAAACAACCCAGCCGAGTACTGACGTATAAGACAAGATATTGAGACACAACTCACTGCCCGCATTGAATCCACAAGCAATGTTGCCCAAGACACAACAAGAATTCACAATCCAAATTTCACATCCAATCTCGAATTTTGTTGAACAGACAAATTCTTACTCATCAAACTTACTCCTTACTCAATGATCAATCCGACCTCCAAACACGTAACTGTTCTTCTGACTTGACAAAGAATGAATCTCCCCTCAGTCAGTCTCAACCATCTATCCTGATGATGACTGTGAGCTTTGGGCTCCACTTTTATACCATGCTTGCTGGGTGGAGCTTAAACTTGCAGTTCTGATTGTGAGTGCTGATTGGTTAGCGCACGTAATGATCTAAATGTGGGCTGGACAGCGAGTGCTGGCGGCAATGTGATGTTGACTAGGAGTTGAGTGCTGTCTGTTAGACCGGTGAAAGTGCGTGTTAGTATGTGGGATGTTCCCACAAGTGGAAAGATGTACTTCAGTGGGATACATGTATTTTCCAAATCCATTATTTGCAATTTTAAATACTTTATTGACACGTATAAGTTCAATTACTGCAGATCTAAGTATATCCTAAAAGACACAATGCAATACATAGTCACCAAACCAAGGACTATTTAAAAGAAGAGCTGTAGGCCTTGCTGAGGGATACACTTTTTTATAAAAAATATTTTTTGAATGATGAGCCATTTTTAAGAAAACAGATAAAAGTTTAGCTTCCTGTAATGTAGTGATTATACTGGATTGACAGGAACCAAAATAAAGACAACCTTTAGTTTACTTCCTCAGTCACTACATATCATCAGATTTTTATTTATATAGATTTCAAAGATAGAACATACAAAGTAATAACCTCTGCATTATGCATTCATTTTATGCATGTTATGCACATAAGTCATAACATTTATTTATATGTTATGCTCTGCACTGAGAGTCCTTAATTTCTACTGGAGTGAAATAAATGTACAAAGATTACAAAACCAATAAAACTTGATCAGGATTTTAACCTCAAGGTGCAAGATCCTCAACATTATCAGGGTCCATCTGCCACAGATAACCAACTCCACTGTGCAGTGTCTTCCTTGAGCAGTTGCTTCTTACTTGGGCGATCACGAAAGTCTGTTACAAATCCAAAATTAACGATATCACAATAAAAGAAGTACGTGTATTATGTTATTGGACATTATCCATCGTCCTGTCTGTTGTCTAAAAAAAACGTCCTGTTTATTTTTCAAAACACAACATTTCAGAGACTGGATTCTGTCCCCATCCTCAGGTAAAACCTACTCAGTTAGGTCCAATAGATAGAGATAGCCCCTATCTCCAGACCTCAAAAAGATGTGAGGATGTCACAATAATAGTTCACTAATGAACCCTAACTTGCGCCATACACATCCCATAACATATTTCTTTAAGATTCATTTTAGTATTACTCTACCTTCACCTAAAATTCCCAAGATGATTATCATAACTAGCAAGATGAAGTAATTTAACAACACTATATTACATTGTAATATAGTAAATATAGTAAAAGAGTACATGTAGATGCTATTTAGAGATGTACGTGTACAGAGTCTGTTGGGTTGGAAATGCTCAAACACGAAATTATTCCATATTTAATTATCTTGTTAAAGACAGGAGATCTGTTGGAACAATGAACAGAACAAACACTAGGCACCTTACTGAACAAACAGGGACCTGCCTGAGATGCCTTATGCAATTTATAGCTTTATTGTTCTTTAAATGCAAATTCTATTCTGTCTGATAAAATCCCGAAAACCATATTCAGCAGGAAATATGACTCCCAGCATTCAGATTCATAGCCTGCTTCAATTTGGATAGTAAAAGGTGCTAAGCAAAGGGTCACATGTTTCTTTACCTCTCTCTTTATGAGCATCCAGTCTCCACAAATCTTTCAATTACTTTTTTTCCTTGGCCACATGACCAATTCAAACTGGACAGAACACACACTGTTTCATCCAATTGTACCTTTACCTCCCATTCGCTGTTCACTGGCAGATCTGTACAAGGGATTCCAAACATTCCAGACATTAACTCTGAAGGGGGCAATTGCAATAGTTGCCAAAACATTGGGGAACCTTCTGTATTCAACGTGGTTTATTTCCAAAATCAGGAGTCTGGGCAAGTTGGCCTGGTTATGTGGTGTGCACAGGCCAAAAAGCAGATGCATACAAAATTTTCATTTCAAAAGTACAAAGAAGGAAATCATTTGGGACCATAACCCTTTCCAGTCTTTTGCTGGACTCAGCTCAACATTTGCAGGAATCATTTCCAGTACAATATTGAACTACAAGGTGTGGCAATAAAGAAACCGGATTCATGCTCTAACCCTTTATTAAAAAAAAATCAGACAGTCGAAATGTTATCCCCTTCAATGTAGTCCCCTCCCCGATCCCTACACCGCTCCATGCGAATTTTCCACTGTTGGAAGCAGTGCTGCAGGTCATCTTGTGTTATGCTCTTCAAGAGTTGCGTCGCTTTTGCTTTCACTGCATCCACGGACTCGAACCTGGTCCCTTTCAGCGCAGACTTGATTTTTGGGAAGAGAAAAAAGTCGCACGGTGCTAGGTCCGGAGAATACGGTGGATGTTCCATCACTGGAATGTTGTTTTTTGCCAAATACCTCTTCACAGATAGCGCGTTGTGTGCTGGCGCATTGTCGTGATGAAGAACCCATGAGGCATTCTTCCACATGTCTGGTCTCCTTCGTCGCACACGTTCACGGAGGTACGTCAAAACATTTTTATAATAAACCTGATTGACAGTCTGACCTTCAGGCACCCAATCAATGTAGATTACCCCCCGGATATCGAAAAAAACAATCATCATTGCTTTGAATTTGGACTTGCTCATGCGCGCTTTCTTCTTCCTAGGGGATTTGGGGCTCTTCCAATGCATGGATTGTCGCTTAGTCTCTGGATCATATTGAAGAATCCAAGTTTCGTCACACGTAATTACGTTTTGGAAGAAATCAGGATCATTTTCAATGTTTTCAAGAGTGTCAACACAGCAATTCACTCGATGTTCCTTTTGCTGGGGGGTAAGGATTTTTGGCACCACTTTAGCACACACCTTTTTCATGCCCAGATCGTCGTGCAAAATCTGTCTAACACTTTCCTTATTGATGTTCGTAAGTTCAGAAATTGCTCGAATGCTCAGTCGACGATCTCTTCGAACAATTCTAGCGACCTTCTCCACATTCTCTGGAGTTTTCGCAGTGGGAGGACGGCCCGATTTTGGATCGTTCCCGACGTTTTTCCTACCCTCCATAAACTTCTTAAACCACTCGAAAACTTGCGTGCGAGATAGACACTGATCACCATATACTTCTGTCAACAAATTGTAAGTTTCAGTGGCAGATTTTCCAAGTTTTGTGAGGAATTTGATGTTAGCACGTTGTTCTGCATTAGCACTCAGCATTATTCCGACGGAGCTCAGAAACACGATCCGCTTCTAACAATGGTCGCGGCCAGACTAACCGATGCACGTGAATGAAACTTTGTGTGACGGTAGAGGGAAGTCCAAGGGTCAATGCCCTACCCTCCTCTTCGTCAATGACGTGGCCGGAAATGAGTCATAAAAGTAATCCGGGTTCTTTATTGCCACACCTTGTATGTCCAAATATCACAGGTCCCTTGAACTTTATAAACAGCCATTGTTTTCTGTCATGTTCAGATAACATGAGCTGAAATGAAGTCTTTGACAGACATAACCAAACATTCAGAAAACTAAATTCAAACAGAAACAAAACTGGCCGTTGCAAGATGCCACATCTCAGAACATATGACTTCAAAGGGATAAAGAAAAGAATTGTGAAAAAACAGCCATCCTTGAAAGAGCAACAGTAAGCTTTTATGATCATATTCCAGTTCTATGACAACAGAACACAAAATTTCTTGACCAGATGAATGTCTATCAATTGTTCAAGCAAGTGTCTGGAGTTCATTTATTAGAAACAAAGATGTGTTAGCCACTTTTGAGCCATGTGTTCTACTTGGTCAGGTCGAGATGGCATACCATGACATACCACAGTCCCCAACCTATCACAGAAGAGCACAGGAAAAATCCATATCAACTTGTTAAGTAAACGCCTATGCATTTAGTACGTCAGTAATGCCGTCTCTCGCCAAAACATGTCGTGTTGGTGTTGAATGGTGAATATCTTAATGATTGTTGCATTACTGACGGACTAAATACATAGACATTTAATTAAAGATGTGCAACAGGATGCTAAAATACAGAATTACAACTTGTTAAGTTTAGTTTAACAGCAAGACCTTACTGTTAGCGCATCTCTCTTTTCATGGTAGGTTATATTTTTAGTCTTCAAGCATTGCCATGTTCCTTGAATTCTGGGAGTTGGTTTTTTACTTTTGCTAAGGTGCCAGGTAACTGTGCTAAGCTTAACATACAGAGTTTTCGTGCCCAGATCTCTGACAAGTTGGGAGCACTGTCATCTCAACCTGACCAAGTATAACACATGGTTCACTCTGCAATACTCACTACACTATACATTCTTTAAATCAGCATTAACAAGCAATCTTACAAGTTTTATCCAAACGTTCATGTCCAGGGGTGTCTGAGAGAGCTCTTCTGCATTCTACTGGGCATTTAGGAAATTCATATTCATGTGCCCTATGAAGTGCAATGCCAAAAATTATAATTACCCTTTTTGATCCTTAGTCTCTTCATTCCTGAGCTTGAGGCACCAATTTAATATTTGTTATAAACCAAAACTGGGGAAGGAAGGGGGGGGAAAGAGTGTCCCTGTGTTTAACTAATTAAGCATTATGCCAGGAAGGCGTATGGGAGAGTGAATGTATAGATCCATGTTTTCTTGGCCTTGGCATTACTTGGAGATGAGTGGGTAGCTCCACGCCACGGCCGCTTTAACCCCGGGGAAAGAGCCCTGGTACCCACTGGATAGGAGGCTGCATGGGCCCCAGATGAGGTCTGGCTGACATGGAGGAGAGAAAATTTTTGACCCTACCGGGACTCAAACTCTGACCCCTCAGCCATCCAGGCCATAGCAAGTCACTATACCGACTGTGCTATCCCGGCTCCTAGGGAAATCCAAATGATATATTAAATGGTTTATTTTATGTAACAGCATTCTCAACAGCTCAGGCTACATCAAATTAAATGAAGGACAAGTTTAATTTTATTCACACTAGTTAATTATTATAGAATGATTTGACAACACCGTCCAGCGTGACTCAGTATATATTTACATAATGCCTTTATATGTTTTGGTCAATTGTGACCATCTTCAGAAGGCAATAACAACATCTTAAGGAACTACTATTACATAGGTCATAGTACATATACCTGAACTTTTGTATAAAGATTTTTAATTAAGCTAAAAGGTGCTTAAGTTAAAAATAAATTATTAATGTTCTTAATATTTAAAATCTTGAACCACTGAGGTTTGTGTCTCTGTGCCTCTTCAAAACGGGAGTTAAAGGTGTTATTTGCCATCCTCTGAGGTTCGGGCAGCACTGCTTTGCTTCTTTTACATGGTTTGTTAAGGATCTGCAATTATATTATGGGTATTTTATATAAAAGTGTATGACTTAATATTTCTTTGGCTGGAATTGAGTTCTATATTGTGTGTTCCTTCCTGTGTTGTCATTTCTCTTTTCATTGTGTATTTATCGATTACACCAGACTATAAAAGAAATCAGTATACTTATAAATTTAAACAACTAGGGGAACTAACAGAAGAACAAAAGAGCACAAAAGGAAATGATATCCAGAATAGTATGTCTGATAATGCATTAGACACGAGTACATGCCCAGAGAAACGCTACAGGGAACAAAGATATAAATACCCAATACAACACACCACACATCAGTGCCTCAACACACAACAATGATTATCGCTAAGTCATATTTTACTCCTTGCTACATGTCAACAGAAAGAGCTGCGAAAGCTAAGTCAGTATAGTGACAGGCTAAAGACTGGATGGCCAAGGAATACAGATTTGATTCCTGGCAAAGGCAACAGATTTTCCCTTCCCCACAGCATCCACACAGGCTCTGGGCCCCAGCCACCCTACTGTCCAATGAGTACCAAGAGTAAACCATAAACCGACAAGGGTGAGAGGCTGACCAGTCACCTCCACCTAGTACTGAGGTTAATAACAGTGGATTTACACTTCCACTCTTCATACATCTTCATAGCATGGTGCTTATCTAATTAAGCACAGGGACAACTTTACCTTTCTACGTTTTACATGTCAATAAATCCTATGTAAATAGCTGAAATGCTGTACTGATTTTAGAATAGCTACTTATTGATGTTAATCTCTTCTTGGGTTCTTACACTGTGCGGTGGTACTTACTGGTAAAGCTATCCCTGTAACAGGCCATGGAGGCCCACAGCGTTGTGAGATGCTGAGGCTCCCACATTTTCTGGAAAATCAGTTCACAAGTAGCAGGGAGGTTCTCAACCTTATGGTTGGGGCTGCCCTTCACCCCCAGGGCCCTAATTTAGCTGGAAGAATTAGGTCAATTGAAAAATCCGATGACCTCCCTGGGAATTGAACTCAGGACCTTCCGGTTTGAGGCATGATACCTCAACCACTATACTACCATGTGCCCAATTTTACTGACTGAGATATTACAAACTGCAATTCATATAAGGCAATAAGCACTAATCAACTGTACAAACAGGACTGCTTAATCTTTCAAAAGGCTACATGGTGCAAAATGCCACTAATTCAGTCTGAAAACCCAAACTGGATGAGTAGGCAACCACTATGTTACCAAGAATGCAAGAAAAGTAAGCATCTAAACGTGTTAACCATTCTCAAGGTCATCCTGATGAAGTGCACTGTGAATGATGAGCAATACATTTATCATATTGTAGCACGGAGACCCATTACTAGGTAACAATTGCAAACAAAAAGGTTCCTGTGGCAACAACAGAGAAACTGTTGGAAGCAGTGTTTCTGTGGTCCACACTGTGGCTACTGCTATGCAATGGCATGGTAAACACATCCATACAGCAACTAATCCAGATGCAACAATAGAGGGACTGTTGGAAACGGTGTTTTCTACTAGGTCCGTGCAAAGGGTTTATAAGGAGGACAACTGACGCAAGAAGAGTTGAGTTGTGGGACATTTGCCAGACGGTAAGGACGTAAGTGGAGGGCAATGTTAAAATCTGTTACCAGGAAATGACTAGTGCAAACTGAGAAGACTTTATGTTACTGTAGTTACGGCGATATATACAGTGCGTAATTCAGTAAGACTGTTATAGTTACTTGTAGTTATGATCCATAAGTGGTCAATAAATCTGATTACCAATCCACACCAGGTCTACAGTCACTCTAGCACGTGACAGTATCTAAGAGGTTACTTACTGCACATTAGAAGTTGACATCTGCAAACAAGATAAGGGTTCCTTTCAATGCTTCTCTCTGGTTTTCATAATATCTTTACTTGCTTCTCTTCTTCTTTTATTTATGGGATTTCTTGGGTCATAGATTTCAAACCAATCATCAGTTTTGGTACTTGCATCTTTAGCAAGTACAGGTGCATTTGCTTCAAAACTCAGTTTGTGTGTTAGCCTGGAACAGAATTGTGAGCGAGGTATCTCTGTGATTATGAAGAGAGAACAAATATTAAAAAGGGAATTAAAAAATGCAAAGGTGAACTAGCCTCAATGAATTTATAGGCCCAGTTACATGAAAAACCAGCCATCAAGAGGCTTGAAAACTGAGAGAAAACAAAAACCTTAGGTGGCTGAGACCATATAAGTTTGTTTCCATATAAAATAAAGAAAGTAACTGACCTAGCTGTGCTGCAGTAATTCTGTATTAACAGTAATAAGGATTATTTTACTAACACTATTATGGAATGTAGAGTACTATTAATAAAATATGCAGATATAACACTAACATGATAAGCTCCATGGAGCAGAATCCTTTGTGAGTAACTAATAGTCAGCTAGTAAAGAAATTCTCCACCATTCATCGAACTCCAAGGTTCCATTCTGTATTCAGATGACCCTGTCACTGGCCTCTATGCTGAGCCAGATAAATTCAATCCATATTGTCACATCCCACTTTTTCTTTATAAGCCATTTTAAATACAGAATGTGGCAAAGGAACTTGACAATTTTTAAAATGTATTATGTTGGCAACCCCTGGGGATCCGATGGTGGGAACCATGTCATTTGCTAGCTTAACTGATGCCACTACAGTATCCACGGAGCAGTGGAGCGACCAACATCATGTGTTTATTGTTAAATTATTTTTATTGGTGACTATGTTGTTAAAATACAGAAAATACTTCACAAGCATCTCAATATTGCTCACCTTGGAGAAGTTCCTTGCCAGAATACCATACAGTACATACCATGAGAGCTTCAGTATTAAGAAAGAAATTACCAGGCTGAGTGTGCACAGTGCGATCGCCACAGAACATTGAGGCTGTGAGACAATCATTCATAAGAAGTCCTAGGTGTTCAGCCAGGAGAAATTCTGTTGCTCTAGGAATATCTGAATGCAGTGTGAAGAGAATTTTACAAAAGGACCTAAATTTCCATCCATACAAAATAGTGGTGGTGCAAGAGTTAAGAAATCATGGCACAGAAAACCATAGCATGGTAGCTGAGCATTTAATCAGAATTTTGTCTGACGATGTCATTATCCTCATGACAGATGAAGCACACATCCACTTATCTGGCTGTGTCAGCAAACAGGATTTTTGCAATTGGGGACAGGAAAATCTACAGCAGCACCATTAACAGCCCCTTCACAGAGCACGTGTGACTGGTATGGAGTGGCAAACTTTGCAGTCATAGGCCCTTATTTCGTTGAAGACCAAGATGGGCATGTGGTTACAGTCACATTCACTCGTTATGTTGAAATGTTATGGAACTTCCTCATAACAGAACTGAGTCATTGTGGAATCTGATCTCTCAATCATGATTCCAGCAAGATGGTGCAACTGCCCATAGAGAGAAAGCATCCATGGAGGTCATTCAGGAAATGTTTCCAGAGCATGTTATTTCACTGTGAAGCAAGCTTCCATGGCTGACATGTTTGTCTGATCCCTCTACTTGTAATTATTTCCTTTGGGGGTACCTCGAAGTGAAAGTGTACACCATTCAACCACAGACCACCGATGAGCTCAGGATTGCAATTCAGAAGCAAATTTCAGTGATACCAGAAAACAATGAGAGGCGAGCAGTGGGAAACCTGTGAGCAAGGTCAGAAGAGTGTGTATGCAATGATGGGCAACATCTTAGTGATGTGCTGTTCAAAATGAAATGTACTTGGAATACAATGGCATTCAAAGTTCATTCATTTTGTAACATTAAATTAAAAATTAAAATAAAATTTCACTGCTTTATATACATAGGTAAGTCAATAAGTAAGTTACAAGTGGATATAGAACTTAAACAAATAAGAGTACTGATTTGAAAAATGTTTTTATTTCTCAACACAATCTCCCTGTACATTGAGGCACTTGTCCCATCGTTTCACAAGTCCCTGAAAACCAGCAACATATAATTCTTTGGGCTGCTGTTGGAACCAGGCGGTGACTGGGATCATGAACGCATACTGCTCACCGCATTCCAGCCTCAAGGACAAACCGTAAATGCCGACTCCTACCGTAACATCCTCAGGAAACTTCATCGAGTCTCTCGTTGGATACTGAACAGTGTGGAAGTGCAGTGAAGTTTGCTCCAGGAATAGCTTGCAGTGCTGACGCAACGGATGGTGTTAGCTGACTTTAGAGCAGTAAATAAGTGTCGGGAATGTCTATACTATATAAGCAGCCAGTGATAAAAAACTATCGCAAAAATACTTATTGGAAATGACCGATTAAATGCTTCAAAGTGGAGCTAACTCGATCAACAGTATGTATTACCAACAAGCCAATATACAAGGACAAACAAATACACCCATAAACACACAATATTTACCAAACAGTCAATCTCCTCCCAAAGTACAGGGTCAACCAAACATCCACTACTCCCCAATTATACTGGGCCAACCAAATATGCAGTATTCTTCCATCATGCAAGCCCAACCAAACACGACCATGAATAACCCTATACTGAACTATGCTAATATGTACCCAAGTATCAACATTCAGGATCAGCAACTGTCACATATACCACCATATCAGATAGCCCCACCAGCGCAGGCTCCGATACTACCATTACAAGTGGATAAAAATAACCACGACTTATCAAATTATTCAATGACCAGTGGGGAAGAAGAGATGTTGGATAATGACGAGACAACAGATAAACATCCCTGGCAAAAAGTCAAAAATAAAAGGAAAAGACACAAGAGATACAATCCAACTTATGTAAATATTGAAGAACCTAGTACATCCAATGGATACCAACTGCTTGAAAACTCAACGATAAAAACGAAGAAAAAATGAAATAACTGCAGGAAGTAAACAACAAATAAAAGAACATAGTCCCCCTCCAATATACATATATGGAGTTATGGACTTCAAAGCCATGACTGAAACTGTATCACAAATCATAGCTGATGAACAGTATCATACCAGAACAACAACCGAAAACATTGTCAAAGTCACTGTAAAAGCAGTTAAATCCTACAGAAAATTAGTCCACCACCTAAAGGAAGAAGGCATTGTCTACCATACGTACAAGCTGAAAGGAGACCGAGCCTACCGAATAGTAATTAGAGGACTTCACCCCTCTACACAAATGGAAGAAATCAAAGAAAAACTTAGCTCTAAAGGTCATAAGGTTAGAAATGTAATCAATGTCAAACATATGCTAACCAAAAACCCGTTTCCTTTATTCTATGTAGGCATAGAGCAGCAAAACAATAACAAAGACATATACGGCATAGAATTTCTATGCCACACAAGAATAAAAGTAGAATCGCCTAGAAAAAGAAATGAAATAGTTCAATGCATGAGATGTCAGAGATATGGCCATTCAAAAGCATACTGCACCAACTGTGTCAGATTTGGACAAGCACACGACTCAAGGACTTGCAAAAAAACCAAAAAAACACCCCGGCTACCTGTGCCTTGTGTAATGGTGACCATCCCGTGAATTTTAAAGGCTGCTCTGTCTATCAAGATCTAATAAACCTAAAAACCAATAACAATAGGAACTCTGCTGCCCTTCAACAACAGAACCAGCAACAGCTGGATCAACAGCAACCTGGCCGCAGAACTACACGTACTATACTACAGAATCATCAACCTAACAGAAGGCTTACATATGCACAAAGTGTGCGAAATGAAATAAATACACCTACAGTGAATCATGAAACCGAAACGTTAACAACCACACTGACTAGTCTTCTCAATCAATTCAAAGAAATGTTTAATCAGCTACTGAACCAGAATAGCATGATTCTGAACATGCTCCCCACAGTCATCAGCAAAATAGTCCACTAACTCCCATGTCATTAATCATAGTAGCTTGGAACTCCAAAGGGCTCTCGAACCATATTTCGGAAATTACAATTTTCCTAAGAATACACAAAGTTGATATCCTCTTAATATCTAAAAGTCATGCTACTAATAGAACGGTAATCAAAATACCCAATTATACGGTATACTATGCTAATCATCCTGATAGTGGAGCACATGGTGGATTGGCCATAATAATTAAAAGTTCTCTTAGACACCATGAACTTGATCCATATATAACAGATAAGATTCAGAGTGCAAAGGTCAAAATACAAACTTCCATGTGGCCAATTACTATTGCCATGATATACAGCCCTCCTAGACATATGGTCTCAACTCAAAGAGTATCAACACTATTTCAATACGCTAGGCTCCCACTTCATAGTCGCCGGCAACTGGAATGCCAAGCACACCAACTGGGACTCAAGACTTGTAACACTGAAAGCAGACTCCGTAGTGTAGGGGTAACGTTCCCACCTCATGACTTAAGGTACGCAGGTTCAAACCCAGTGGAGGTCGTCGAATTTTTAAGGGCGTTAAAATTCAGGGAACAAGTCCTCCAGGAGGGACTTTAAGCCGTGGGTCCCGTGTCGTAGATTTACAGCATGTAAAATATCCTCGTGTCTCTAGGAGACCTCTGAGCAAAATTATTAGGTAAAAAGTTTCCCGCCCAAGTAGTTTCCAATGCCTCCAGTAGCTGGGTAAGCATCGGGTACCGCAGACAGCCTCGCTGGCTGAACGGGTCTGATAGCGAGCACCAGTAGCGGCAGGGTATGGAGACTGGTAGAATATTAANCTTTGATCTTAGCTCTGACCATAGCCCCATTATCATAACTGTAAGCACTGAAATTCTACTTAAAGAACCTGCACCTCGATTATATACCAAACAAACTAATTGGAGAAAATACCAAGAAATTATAAACCAAAATATAAAGCTCAATATAAGACTGAAGGAACAAGATGAAATCGAAGCTGCTGTCCATGACTTCACAGCACTATTGCAAAAAGCGGCATGGAAAGCACTACCCCCATATTACCACAAAGCAACAGATAATAATTTGCCTCTTTGTATCAAAGAATTAATCCAGGAAAAAAGGAGAGTACGTAGAGTCTAGCAATGTGCAAGAGACCCTTACGACAAGACATCTCAACAGACTCATTCATAGACTCCACGCTACCATCCAAGACTTCAAAAATGCGACCTTTGATTATTACATCAAAAATCTGGAACCCAATGACCATTCACATGGAGAGCTACCAAGAAATTCAAAAGACCAACACCCACAATATCTCCACTCAGGCAAGAAGACAGCAACTGAGCTAGATCCAACTTGGTAAAAGCACAAGTCTTCGCTGAACATCTTGGTAGAACTTTTGCTCCACTATATAACAAGGAGAATGAAGAAATAAGTAGCTATCTGGATGCTCCTTGTCAACTGTCACCTCCAATCTGATCTATCACACCACCTGAAGTCATGGAGCAGATAAAACTGACGAACCCACACAAGGCCCTGGATATGATCTAATTGTATGGGAAATCCTTAAGCACCTACCCAGGAAAGGAATAGTTCTCCTAACTACCCCTTACAATAGAATGCTTCATCTCTCTTATTTCACAACACAGTGGAAATTTGCTCAAATTATTATGACTGCCAAACCTGGTAAACCCCCTACTGAAGCTGTCTCCTACAGACCCATAAGCCTGCTACCAATACTATCCAAGATATTTGAATGATTGCTATGAAAAAGAATGAAAGAAATAATCAGTCCTGATAACCTGATACCAATGCATCAATTTGGATTCAGAGAGGGCCATTCAACATTACAACAATGCCATAGAATAGTCAACACAATCAGAGATGGATTAGAGAACAAGAAAACATGTGCCGTGGTATTCTTAGACATACAGCAGGCATTTGACAAAGTGTGGCATCAAGGACTCCTATACAAACTAAAAAGGGTCATGCCTAGTCAACTGTACCTGATACTAAAGCCCTACCTATCGAACAGATACTTTGATATTAAGATAGACAAAGACGAAACCAACTACCATCCCATACAAGCAGGAGTACCCCAAGGTAACGTCTTGGGCCCGTTTTTGTATCTTATCTACACTTCTGATATTCCAACAACAAACGAGACCAACACAGCCACATTTGCTGATGACATGGCGATTCTAGCAATGGACCTAAATCCCATTGTAGCCTCTGAAAAACTCCAAAAACATCTCAACGTCCTTCAACAATGGCTTTGCAAGTGGAAAATCAAAGTGAATAACAATAAATCTGCTCAGATCACGTTCACAACTAGATACACTGAATGTCCACCAGTCATACTAAATAATGAATCCATCCCAATGAAGAACAAAGTCAAGTACTTGGGTCTTCACCCTGATCGGAGGCTAACTTGGAAAGATCATATTAAGGCAAAGATAAAACTAAGCTAATGAATTGGCTTATTGGCAGAAAATCTCAATTGTCTCTTGAAAAGAAACTACTAATCTATAAAGTCATACTAAGACCCATATGTACGTATGGGATCGAATTGTGGGGATGTGCTAAACCATTTAACACTAAAATACTACAGACATACCAATCAAAAACTTTAAGAATGATGACAAATGCTCCATGGTATGTTTCTAACCAAACCTTACATGACGACCTAAAAATACCATTTATGAGGGATGTAATAAATTCCCAGGCCAACATGTACAGAAACAGGAATATGAATCATACAAATGAACTGATTGCGGCTCTCACCAGTGAACTAACCATTGCAAGAAGGCTCAAAAGACCTAAGGTGAACCGGCAATGGCCAACAGCACCTACACTGACTGTACTGACTACTAAATTTACTTAATACTTGTATTTTATAGAGTAGATTGTAAATAAACAGGCAATAAAAAAATCATAAAAAAAGGAAACTTCATAAGGCCATTCAATGGAAGCAACCTGACTCCTCACCAAAGGCGTGTTGCTCTTGGATGACAATGTGCGTACCCATACTGCCAACAAGACAAATGAGACGCTGTGAAATTTCAAGTGGGAAGTCCTCGAGCATCCTCCATATAGCCCCAACATTGTTCCAAGTGACTTCCATTTGTTCGGCCCTCTTAAACATCATCTTTCAGCTGAACACTTTCCCGACGATGAAGCTGTAGAAAGGGAAGTCACCGCCTGGTTCCAACAGCAGCCCAAAGAATTTTATGCTGCTGGTTTTCAGGGGCTTGTGAAACAATGGGACAACTGCCTCAATGTACAGGGAGATTACGTTGCCAAATAAAAGCATTTTTCAAATCAGTACTCTTATTTGTTTAAGTTCTATATCCATTTGTGACTTACTTATTGACTTACCCACATACTTTTGAAAATCATATGGTTCCTTTGCTGCACCCTGTATTGTTCTCCCATCTACACCTAGATCCTCCAAGTTGTCTCTTCAATTGAGATTTTCAAACTACAGTACAGCCTGTATTCAAGATTTCTTCTGAGACCTGTGGATTTAAACATTAAACTGAGGAAGATCTTCAATGAAGGTCATTTAATGCTGTGATTACTGATTTGGGATAATTGAAATTGAGTATTAAATCACGGAAAACCTTGAATTGAAGAACACTTAATGTGAGTTTCACTACAAAATTCCATATTCAGTTCTCATCTCTCTCACGCATTCTGTATGTCCCATCCACCTCATCCTCTTTGATTTGATCACCATAAAAGTATGTTGAGGAGAGCAAAAATTATGAAGCTCCTCATTATACAAGGATGAACAGAACTACACTACAAGGAACACTGTAATCTCTGCTTTTCACCAAATATTATTAGGCTGATCAAATCAAGTAGGATGCGATGCACAGGACATGTAGCATGATTGAGAGGAGTTGGGAAAAGTATACTAAATTTAATTTGGAATGCCTGAAGGGAAAGCCTCAGTACAAATGAAAGAATAAGATTAAAGTGGCTCTTAATTAAACAGGTGTGAATTTGTGGAAAAGATTCAGCTAATACATGATAGGGTCAAGTTGCTGGCACTTGTGCACTTGACAATGAACTTTCAGGTCCCACAGAAAGCAGGGAATTTCTTGGCCCATGTAGCAGTTTTAAGCTTCTCAAGGGAGTCTCTTCCATGGAGTTGGTTTAGCTAGTTATTACTTGTTTGTCTTTCCTGGTCAATGCCTATAATGGTGATGGTGATGAAGTCTAGTTCTGAGGCAGGAGCATGTATGAGATATATTCCATTATCCCTCAAGAGATCATCCATAATGGCATGCATTACTGCTCACCAAGGGCTAAGAACCATGATCAGTCACCTCTGTTACAGGCGAAGGAAAGGAAAGGCATGTGGAAAAATTCACACTGTATCCAGCTGGTCTCAAGTTTCAGACATATGGCACATAAGTCCAGTGTCTTATATCTTTAGAATATCAGGCTTGCAATTTCTTTAAACACTGAATGTGCAAGAAAAATCTTGGCTTATTGTGCATTCTTTGCACAAAATGCATAACCTGAAAAAGGGGAAGACAGTGTCTCTCTGTCTACACATTTCATTTCTAAAATTACTGGGCCAATTCTGACAACATTTGGTCTTTGAGATCTACACTACAGATATTAAACAAATTGAATTTGGGTTCGTCTTGGTTCAATACAGTAGCTACTTTACACCAACATAAATTACAAAGTTCATAAACATCTACAACCTTAATTTAAATATTCTCTGATACGATAAGCATTTTTATGACATATGTGGAAAAATATTCTGCAGTGTGACTGATATGAGGAATGTGACCAAGGCTTTGAATGCCAAATCTTGTCTGTAATAAATAAACACCAAGGCCAATTAGATGTGGAAACAGCAAACAACACACCTAAAAAATATCTTTCTCACTAAAATACAGCTCACCAATCATCATCTTCATCTTTAGTCTTGTCCTCTGAGTTGGGGGAGGGCTGATTTGCTTTATCACCTGACTTCTCCTCGGCGCTCTCTCTCGCAGATGACAACTTCCTTTGAAACTTGGCCATTAATGCCAATGTAAAATCCTCTCTTGCAGGACCTGAAGGAAAACCAGTTCACTTACTATAACTAATTGCAATTTAGCAATGAATTCCACTGTGCTCCAGACTCTACAATGTATTATCTTGCTAAACTGAAATTTTACCAGTTCGAGTAAGAAGTTCATTGGATAAACAGGAAGTTCTAACACAAAGTTAATAGAAGGTCCGTCGAGTGTAACAATTTGTAGGTCACTTTTTATTATTATTTCTGCCTTACATGTTTCGGTTTGACACACAGCACACAGAACACAGGAACATATCAAACCACAAGCCATACAACCTCAAGCTGATGTCTCCCATCTTCGGGATGAATTAACTAGGAGGAGTCCAGCATTTTATATCAAACATTTTAACATTTTAGCGTTTTAACTTAAAAATAGGTTCGGATGAAAAGTGAGAACTTGAGAGTGTACTCAACTATCTTAGCATGTTTTGTGCTTTTACACGTCAACATATCGTAGCAACGTCCACACGACAAACAAAATTGTGAACATCAAAAACAGTGACAGTGTTTCCATAATTGTAGCAAGTGCCTCTGATGATGGTTGTGTCAAACCGAAACATGTAAGGCAGAAATAATAATAAAAAGTGACCTACAAATTGTTACACTCGACGGACCGTCTATTAACTTTGTGATTGATAGTGTAACGGACCAAAATGAAACAATTCAAAATAGGAAGTTCTAAACTCATAATGCTCACTTCCTTCCGAAAGTTTCAATCTATGTGGTGAAGTCAGCAAGAATCATGACTATACAATTTAGTAATCCATTTCTGTGCATAATTTCCTTCATGCACAACTACCCACATGACAGTAAATACTTAACAAGCTGCAGCACTGATGTCATAGCCTTGTAATGGAGGGCTCTGCATTTTCAGTGCCTCTGTCTGTCATCTCTGGAGAATCTGAATATTCCTTCTTTGCAGCATCTTCATTTAGAAAATAAAGTTTTTTTATAGATTGGTTAATATAGTATTTGTGACACAGGCATAGAAATGGCATCAGTGTGACACAGGCATAGAAATGGCATCAGTGTATGCCATATTGCGCATGTACTGGTCTGTGCACATATCAGTACATAAGCACGTATATGTATGTATGTGTGTATGGGGCGGGCCATAAAATTCAGCCCTCACACTGCGACCTTCAATGATCTATTGTGCTTCCCCTTTGGATTAACCCGTTATTAAGCCTACACTTTGATTGAAAACATAAGCATGAATGTATGACTACAATGAATCATAACACAATTACTACTGCTGCCTCCCGCTATATCCATTTTACTGACACCCTCTCAGTCTAATATCTGATCCAGGGACATTCTAAATATAAAGTTCTCTGCAATGTGTCAAACTTTTGTTCTCAATGTAAAACATAAATAATACACCATTACCTTTCTTGGATATCTGACTCTTCAGCTGCTTATATTTTTCTTGTACCTGTTTGTAAGCCTCAATTGTCTCATTTCTTGCTACTACATTTCTTTGTGCCATTTTTTCTTCCTGTTCCTTCTTCTCCTTCTCCTGCTTCTTCTTCTTGTCATTCTGTATTTCCTGTTTCAGGTCTCGTATCTCTTTTCGGATGTCATCTCTGCTAAAAAAAATTAATTTACCACATAAAAATGAACTAATAATAATAAATCGAAATGGCAAAATCTTCCGGATAAGTAACACCAAATACTCATATTAACATAAACAGATCTCAACATACATCAGCTAATCAGACTATTCACAATAAGATATTGCTTATTAGATGTCTGTAGCTTACAGGAATAAGGAGAGATCACATTATTAATAGTACTGCCAAGCTCAGTTCTGTACAGACCACTAATCTGAACATGTGTTATAACAATATATAATATAAACTCCGTCCTAAGTGCAACAATTTATTGTAGGTCTTTCATCTTGCTTTCTTCTACACTACATGTTTCGGCCACAAACGGCCATCATCAGGTGTACACACTCACATAGCTGTTACACTGCACCCAGTTTAAAATTTAAAACACAGGTCTTCCCAACTGTTCCCTTCGTCGCTGCTAACAGGATCTACTTCGCTGATATTTGTCTGATTCGTAGATCATCTTTGCCACCCACACACGTCAATTTTGACCTTCATGAACTGGCTCTTTTAAAATCTTCAGTTCCAATTTTAAAAACCCCCTTAAAATTTTTTCCCAAATTTTAAAATTTAAAATTCTCAGGGTTACTCGCCCCACGTCTATAGTGCTGCAGCAGCAGCGGCACGCACACAGGGAGCCTACACAGAATAACACCTGTACAGTGCTGAAAACAAGAAGTAGCCGCTGCAGCACTACAGACGTGGGGCGAGTAACCCTGAGAATTTTAAATTTTAAAATTTGGGAGAAAAAAATTTGAAGGAATTTTTTAAAATTGGAACTGGAGATTTTAAAAGTGCCAGTTCATGAAGGTCAAAATTGATGTGTGTGGGTGGCAAAGATGATGTACGAATCAGACAAATATCAGCAAAGTAGATTCTGTTAGCAGCGATGAAGGGAACAATTGGGAAGACCTGTGTTTTAAATTTTAAAATGGGTGCAGTGTAACAGCTACGTGAGTGTATACACCTGATGATGGCCGTTTGCGGCTGAAACATGTAGTGTAGAAGAAAGCAAGATGAAAGACCTACAATAAATTGTTGCACTTAGGACAGAGTTTATATCATATATCATATAGAGTGCAACAGGATGCTTAAATATAATATTGTGCTATAACAAGATTAACAACCAACAGATCCGCGTACCCAGGGTGTTACCTGCGGATAGATATATATAACATTCCTCTCCTAAAGGTTAATTTATAGGTGTGAGGAATGTTGCAGTGGCTTCAGCATGTAGATACAAACTCCCACTGAGCTGAATCTATTGTGATGGTTCCTAATGTATGAACAGAAGTGCATGAAAGGGGTGGTTATGACCTAATTTAAGGTACTGTGACATGACGCCTAAAAGCCCGAATAGTTGAGTCAGATCAAAGTTGATTTCCTAGGCAATGAGTGTTAACAAAGCACATTCCCATGACAAGGGTTTACCATGGGACTGTTACACATGCACTTCCATGGAAACACTCAACCAGGCATATAGGTTACTGCGGAACTGGAGGTGTTTCCGTGATAACACATGCTTAGGTAGACAATTACTGCAGATACAAAATACAGAACTCTTTGAGCAGGTGTTTGCTATCACGGCCGCTAACAGTTATAACCAGAGTTCAGAAGTTAAGCCAGAAGCAAGAAGTGAAGAGAAACAAAGAAGCCAGGTTACACAAGGCGATAAGACACTTGACAGAAGGCTCAGCTAAGAACCGGAAGACAACAGATTTATCAGGTTGTATCATGAGTAGGGACCAGATTTTTATGCCCTGATAATCCCTTAAATATGTATGCATTTATACACGAAAAACTTCTGAAATATGCACATAAAAATTTATACCAAATATTAAAATTGATTTTACATTATTTTAAGACCAACATATCAATATTTAAGTTCATTTTATATAATCACTGAATGATTCACATGCAATAAAAAGCTATACTTAAATACAAATCATGCAACAAAGCCAACATATTTCATTACAAATTTAAAAAACCAATGGTACTCACATTAAGCTCTCTGAACTTTCAACTTCTCTTCTGTTGCAGTTCACGATTACTAAATTTTTTAGGTTTTCCATAGTTAGTCGCCTCTTATTGTCTCATAAGATGTCCTTATAGTGGGAAAAACTTCTTTCAACCTCACAGGAACTTAGGGGCGCATGAACAAAAGCCACTATTTGCTCCACTGCTAGTGATTTTTTACTTGGCAGTTCAGTATGTTTACCGGCTAAAATTTCTTCAATTTCACAAATTTGTTCATATCCTGGATTTTTTGAAAGAATGCTGTGTACCTTTTCCTTTAATAATTCACCAACTCTTCCAGGAACCGAATTCAATTTGAAAACAGTGGTTTTGAACACATTTAACGACTGATACAAAGTAGTATTGCTATTGCTTGCCTCCAGTGAGGAAATGGAGGATGGGAGATGAGAGAAGTGAGCAGATATATAGGAAAGATTAGTTTCTAGTTATGTGTTTTTTAGTATATCTTGGGCAATTTGAATTGATGCTGCACTTTTGGGATCAAATGTATTCACGACATTCCTAACTGTTTCTAAATGTTTGGTATAATAACTCGCTGCACACAGCCACGTGCCCCAGCGCGTTAAAATTGGTTCTGGCGGAAGTGGAATGCTCGTTACTGTTGCTTTAAAGGCTTCTTTTCTGTATGGCGCTTTAACAAATACCTTCTTCAGAGAAGACACCAACATGTCAACAAGCGGAAAATTTGCACGAATTGTTTCTGCAACACGGTACAACCCATGGGCAAGGCAAGTCAAATGTGTCATATTTGGAAATATAACTTTAAGAGCAGTACCGACTTTCATCATATAACTTGCGGCATCAGTCACAAAGAGCAATACGCGCTCATACTGAATGCTATTCGGCCACAGTAAATTCATGAAATTGATAAAATTTCAGAAACTGCGGAGCTATTTGTGGTTTCAAATTGCTCTACCGCAAGAAGATATGGGGTAGACTGTTCATTCTTATTAAGGGATCCAACTATACAATTTGCAATAAACCATCCCTCACAATCTTGTGTTTCGTCGATTGATACCCACACAAAATTATCTTGAATCTTATCTCTAATGCTTCCAATTGTAAGATCGTAACACTGCTTCACGTAATTTTTGCGCACAGTAGATTCATCCGGCACTTTGCACTGTGTATACTTCTCTGTGAAGTTTCTCAGAGCAGGAACGGTTAGTTTCCACAGCAGAATATCTGCCACTAAAAAGGCTTCGCTTAAATCAAAGGAACACTGTGAAAAAACTATTATTAGAAAATTCACTAGGCAATTGTTGAACAGAAGCACTTTTCATGGATTTAATTTTAATATTCCCTTTGTTAATGAAAATTTCGAGACAACCAACCCCAGTCACAATAAAGATAGACCAAAAAGAACTGGAGAATGTGAAATGTTTTCAATATTTGGGTAGCTTGTTAACAGACGATGGAAGGTGTACTAGTGAAATTAAATCCAGGATTGCCATGGCAAAAGCTGCATTTAGCAAGAAGAAGAATCTTTTTACCAGCAAATTGGACTTAAATTTGAGGAATAAACTAGTGAAATGCTACATTTGGAGCATAGCTCTGTATGGGCTGGAACAAGGACACTTAGGGCAGTAGATCAGAAACATCTGGAAAGTTTCGAAATGTGGTGTTGGAGAAGGATGGAGAAGATCAGTTGGACAGATTATGTGAGAAATGAAGAAGTGTTAATTAGAGTCAGTGAGCAGAGGAATATCCTACACAAAATAAGAAAATGGAAGGCTAATTGGATTGATCATGTTTTACGCAGAAACTGCCTCCTAAAAGAAGTTATCGAAGGAAAGATAGAGGGGCGGATAGAAGTGACAAGAAGACGAGGAAGAAGGCGTAAGAAGATGCTGGATGACCTTGGGGACAGAAGAGGATATTATCATTTGAAGGAGAAAGCTCAAGATCGCATTAAGTGGAGGAATTGTTTTGGAAGAGACTGTGGACCTGTTGCCTGACAGATTACTGATGATGATGATGATGATTCTCTTCGTGTATATTAGTGTTCAAATGCTGAAGCACTTGAAAGCGTTTTTCACAAACAACTGTTTTCTCACACGCTTGGCAATAAAGAATTTCATTATCCGTACTTATCATCTCTCCTTCGAACTCCCGCTGATACAGCTGTAATTTAGTTTTCTGACTTACTTTCACTTTCGGCATGACTACAGAAAGCTAAATAAACTTAACTACAGACTAGTCACCACTAATGTGAATGGCCCCCAACTTCAAATGAAGAAGAGTAACGAACCTCACGGAGACTTTGGAAATAAATAAGTGAAGTCCCTTATTGGTTGAATAGTATTATGCTGATATCAGCCACATGTGAACGCTACTGACTAATCTCTTCGCAGCCACTTTGATGGTACGCAGATGAGGCAAGTTACGAGTAGAGGGATCAGGGAAGTCCCGTCCTGGGTATTGCATCAGAAACATGATTCATGACGAAATGTTGAGTCAAATATGCAACATATTCTAATACTGAAAAGAAGAATTGTATACACATGACCATGACTGAAAATTTGAACACAAAATTAAAAAATATGTATGATGAACATTTTAAAAAGGAAATATGCAGTATAAATCGAGATCTTCGAAAATATGATGCTTATTCACAAAACAGGCAAAATATGCATTTATATGCACCATCAAACCATGTCCAAAATTTAAGAAATGAAGTAATTCATACATATATCCAAACGAGCATACTTTCTGGTTGCAAGAAAGAAATATGCATTTGCATTAAAATCCGGTCCCTAATCATGAGGAAGACTTTATTTTCGAGTAATTGTAATCAACTTATCCAGTAAACCACTTCATCTAATCCAGAACCCCCACTTCATCTAATCCAGAACCCATTAATTACATATTGCATTACCCAGAAACATGATAGTACTATCCCAGAATATCTGAGAAAATGATGAAAATTTCAGTCAGGA